TCTTTGAGCATGATCACAGCTTTGATTGGGAATGAGAACTATACCGTATTGGTCATATAAGTTTATTTTTGGTTATTTATCAGAAAGTACGCATATGCCACTGTGATCTGAAACTCATTGTGTTTTGGAGCATCATGGTGAATAAGTGCTGAGAACATTCAGTTCCTAATGAGGACTTTGGTTTCCTAGTTCACAAAATTAGAATCATGAGGACACTAATGATGCCTAAGTAACTATCATGTGCTCTGGAGATAACTGAATACTGTGCCTATGAAAGTGATTGTACATTGCTGAGTTTGATTTGTAAAAGATGGCTAAACCATGCAAAAGCCAAGGTCTCCTAAATACATCGTGTATCACACAGTTAAATCTCCCTTCCATCAGCAGCCGTAAGGTGAAAGATACTGAGGGGTGTTACAGTGAACCATTTTATTTCTAATTTTTGGTAATCTGTACCAATTTGCTTCACAATGAATCTCAACCACTGTCTTTTACTCTCTCATTAAGCAAAGCTTTTTAAGTGCCACATTCCAGGTACTCACCTACAAAATAAAATCAGGCAAGAGCCTGGCTCTGAAGTTGTTTATTACCTTGTTGGGGAAAAGAGCAGTACATCACCCATCAGCATGTAATAAAAGTATGCTAGAGGTATGCTCTGGGTAGTGTTTGCCTATGGATGGATGGAGACATTGAAATAAAACAGGTGGGCAGGAAGGGGTAGAAGAAAAATATTGACAGGAAGATTCCTAGGAAATGACTGAAGCCATGTGAGGAGTTTGAGAAGAGTGTGCCCAAGGCTTCTCACTTAGGCAAGAAAGGTGGGGGGTGGGGTGGGGGTGGGGGAATTCAGTGAGGCAAGGAATACAAGTGTTAACCAGGTAGAAATGGGATCTTCCCTGTTGTCCGGAAATGAGGCAAAATCCCCAAAAGTGAAAATACAAGGAAAGAAGCTACTAGAAGATCTATTCTCACAGGAATTTTTAAAAGGTCTATTTTTCCATATCTCATACTCTCACTCTCTACTCTATCCTCATTAAGTAAATAAGTGATTAAAAGTATAAAGGCATGTTTTTCTTTCTTTAAATAACCATCATTATCCTTGGGGGGGTAAACATCACGGTGTACATATTCTTGTTCCTGTGAGAAAGGAAAGATGGTGATCCTTGCAAAGCCATTCACAAGTTCTCAGAGTTACCATTTATGGAGAATTGAGATGGTGGTTGCTAACAAGAGGAGGAAACTGGCAGGTATGGATGGCTTCTTGCTGAGCTTCAGAAAAAGCAGAGACCACTGTGGTGTCCTTCAGAACAAGGCAGTAAGGGAGTTCTTGGTGGAGGGGTGGTTTCATCTATATCCCCAGGAGATTTCAGAAGGTATGCATTTCTTCATAGAGAAGGGTGCCTACTTCCTACCTAGAGATTAAAAGAAGGGTGGCTCACAGTGTCAGGGAAATGAGAAAGGTAAATATGGGGCCATCTACATGCTCACCATTTGGTGGATTGTACACAGTGTTCCATGAACACAGAAGACTCATGAGCAAACTAGGCTTCAGCAATCTTATGGGAAGCCCTACCAAGAAGGCTGGCTGGACAGGAGTTGGGTCTACCTGTAAGAAGCAGCGGGATGGAATGCTGAGAATGAGATGCTGAAGGTTAGTCCTCATCAAAGGAACATGCAGAATGATGGGACTTTGTCCCAGTGCAGGACAAAGATGTATGTCCAAAATGGGCTCCACCAGCAAGTAACTGTTTGGACACCTGCCATACAGGCAATATCAGTGTCTGATGACAGCAGTCTCTCCTACCTGAGGCTTTTTCCCTGTTCCTTCCTTTGCCCTTCCCATTTCTCCCTTGGGCAGCAACACTTTGCAGATAAAAGGCAGACCAAAAAGCAATGGAATGTGACTGGTAGAAGAGGTAGAAAGAGAAAAAAGGAGATGATGTTCCTTTGTCACTGTAGAGCCCTGAGGCACAGGGCAGGCTTTTGTTGAGAACAAACTAGTTTTGAGATTAAAGTTTTAATTTAGAACAGATGAGGCCTTATATTTATATGTGAGATTTAAGGTAATTACAAGAAAACTTCCTGTTGTTAACTTTTTATTAAAGTTTTACATATATACAGCATAATGTTTGCATATTAAATGTATATTTCTATGAAATATCACAAATGCAATGCATCTACATTACCACCACCTGGATCAGGAATTGTTACACTTCCAGGACCCAGAAACTCTTCATTGTACTCCTTCCCTTTGAGTCAAAGGAAATCAACTTCCTGATTTCTTACACATAGGCAAGTGTTTCTTTTCTATAGAATGGAATAAAATATATTTTATTATATTTTATATACATATGTTTTATATATATAGAATTTAATGCATCTGGTACTTTTTTTTTACTCATTAGTATGTTTGTAAAACTCACCTATGTAGTTGCAAATAGCAACACTTTGATCACTTTCTTTGCTGTATGGTAATCCATTGTGTAAATATACCATACTTTATCCCTTCGACTATTTATTGGCATTAGGTTTGTTTCTAGGTTGAAGATTATAACAAAATAACTTTGCTATGAATATTCCTGTACATGTAAAAGTGCATGTATATGTCTTAGATAAATACACTATAGAATGAAATGTCATGTCCTACGTTGTAAACACACATTCAACTTTAGGATACATTACCAAGTAGTTTTCCAAAGTACTAGTCTCAATTTAAACTGCCTCAAGCAGTATAGGGGAATTCTAGTTGCCTCATACCTTTACCAATGCTTCATTTTTTCTATCTTTTTCATTTTAGTTATTCTGGTAGGTGTACAATAGTATTCATTCCATTGTGTTTCTAACTGCGTTTCCCTCATGACATACGAAGATGAGCACATTTTCATAAGTTTGGTCACTTAGATATCCTCTTCTGTGAGTTGCTTGTCTATTTCAGATTAATTTTCATGAGTGCTAGAGCTGCCTTTCACTCCCTATTTGTGTCTTTTAATCAATGGAAGATTGGAGTTTTAATGCTTAAGTAGGGCATTTATATAAATTTTTTCTATATGGATAACTTACCCCCCCCCTTTTTTTGGTCCTGTTTAAGATATCACTTATTTTCCCAAACTTATTTTAGAAGCATTATTTTTTCCCTTTCACATTAGGATTTATAATCCACATGAATTGGTTTCTTTATGCATGGTATAAGGAGGAATCATATATACATTTTTAAATGTTTATTTATTTATTTTGAGAGTGAGAGAGCGAGAAGGGAAGGAACAGAGAGAATCCCAAGCAGGCTCCATACTATTACCACAGAGGCTGAAGTGGGACTCAGTTACACAAACTGTGAGATCATGATCTGAGCTGAAATTGAGTCAGACACTTAACCAACTGGGCTACCCAGGCACCGTAGGAATTATATATTCCTTTTATTCAAGTCTGAGTTTTTTCATGGCTTTATGTGAACTGGAATTACAGAAAAGACATTATTGGTACAAATAAAATGATTGAAAAGCTATGGGATCTGCCAAAGATGTTCTCAAGCTGAAGAGATAAAGATCCACAGAGCACATTTGAAAGTCATGTTTGAGAAAAATAAGGCCATTTATCTGAACCATAAGTATATCAAATAGTTTTTAAAGGAAAAAATAAATGGGACTATGATTTCAGATTTTTTTTTCATTTTAAGAAACTTGTGGAATATTGAGGTAGATTTGTTCTTAAAGTTAAGAGAAGATGCTTCTAGTGGCAGCTAGGAAGGCTGAACTCTGGTGGAGAATGAAGGCATTTAGTTTAAAATGCTGCCATTAGCAGGAGTCTATTATTTTCTGGAACTAATTTAAGTAACTTAGTGATGGACTGCCCTGTCATTTCCTTCGTAAGTGGAGACTGTATTTGACTGTAAGACAGCAGTTAGAATGAAGCCCCTAATTAGTAAGCTCAAGTACAAAATCATCTATAGAGAATCTCCTGCTATTGCTTTGGTGGTCTACACTCTCATACACAGCAGGATCTTTGCAATTTGAAACAACCACTTTGTAAACTTTGTAAGAATAAGTCTACATCCTATGTCATTGGTGGAGTGATCTCAAACCTACCACTTGCAAACATAAAATACAGTTTTGTCCATTTGAACACAGTTTTCTGGACACTGATCTCTTTATATATCCATCTGTAATCTGAGAATATAGAGAAGCTATAAGCTGAGTCAGCTATAAGGTGACCACCCTCTTGTTTGCATCCGAGGACAGCATATATTATTCCAGTTTTACAGTGAAGAACTGAGGGAGAGTGTGATTGAGTAATCTGCCCAAGATCACATAGCCAGGCTGGGATACAAATCCAGGCTTTCTGCCTTCTAAGACCATTACACCACTGCCTTAGGGTATCATGATTTAGGTTTCCCCAGAAGCAGGCAGTTAGCTAGGACTCTGGTCTTACCAGAGGTGGTCCCCAAATGAAATGGTAAAATGGTGCCAAGGTAAGCATGTGTGCAAGTGAGATAGGACGGAAGCCAACGAAGTCAAAGTGGCTATGAAAGTACTGGAGTTTAGCCCCCTGGGGGAAAGCTGGGCAGCAGTGTAAAACAATTGCCTCCATTACGATGTGAGGGCTGCTGCGGCTGGGAGATATTAACCCCCAGCACTTCTGACTTGCTGTGGGCAGCTCCTGTGGCAGCCAGAGATTGCCTTGGACAAAAAGATGCAGATGATGGTTATTGGCAGGTTGGCAGAAATGCTCTAGAATAATAGAGCCTGAAGGGATATGGATAATTCCTGGAGTTGTGACAGTCAGTGGTAGTTTCCCAGAATTCCACTGAACCTAGGAGAAATAAGAAATAAGGAACTGCGTTCTTCAGACTCCACTTAAAATGGTTTAAGCATCATGCAAATACTTCATTTATAGTTCTTGTGATAGAGCTTGTGGGATAAAGAACATATTATTGAAAGGATCATTTGAGCAGCAAATCCAAGAAGTTAACGTGAGTATCCAACAACAAAACTAGAAGTTTTTGCCTACCTGTTCTTGCATGTTTGGATAAACTTTTCTTCTACACGATCCATAAATACACTGTATACATCTCGTTGCCTTCTATGTCTCTTAAGGAAGATGGCACAAAGGAAGTTAGCAAAAACAAACATGTACTGACTTTAATTGTTGTTTATCTTTTTAAAATTGCTATTTAAGATCTTAACTTTAAAAGCTTGCTCTGTGTGCTGCATACACATCTTGCTGTTTTTGGACATACGGGGATACAAGGCAGGCTTACTTGTCCAGGGTGGAATTTGAGCCCCGGTAAACATTTGCTTTCTTAACATCTTTCTCTGAGTGTCTGACAAAGTCTTCTTGTCAGGCCTTTTACTTGAGTATAATTCACTCAATGGGCTGCTCCAAATAAGGTGGCAGAAAATTTGGGGAAAATTCTTCACAGTACTCAGGCCTCAATATACCATACCAACTATCTTTTTACCAAGAAAAGAAAATCCAAAATTCTAAAAAATTCACTATTTGTATTTTAAGAAAAAGAAGAGATCTTTCTGCTTTATTCTCAAACATAAGAATATCTTTCACTATATATGCTAACAATAAATTAAAAATTCCTACGTCAAGACAATCATTAATAACAGTGTTGGAGACATTTTCCAAGAGCTATAGAGAAAGAGTCAAGCTCACCGTGTAGGAAGCTGATTTAATGGGCCATGGGTCTTTTGGTAAAATTAGCTTTGGGTCCCAGGTGCATTCATGAGGCTTGTAGGTGATAAATCTTTCCGTATTGTTCTTCTGTTTATCATCTTCCAGCGACTGACACTCATGTACTAGAAATATGGAGACAAATAAGAAACTTAACAGTTACGTAGGTCTTTGTTCATATCTCTCAGAATATAGTTGGAGATCAGAGCCTAGGAAGGAAAAACTGTTGGGCAATTTATAATGCAAATCTAAATAAAGTACTGCTTATCCTGCCCAGCATTTCTATGGAAATTAATGTTCTTCAAACTCTAATTCAAATCCCACCTTTTATTTCCCTGGAAATCTCCTTGTAAACTTCTCAGTAATGCTTTGCGACTTGAATGGCATATTTTGCATTCTAACTTAAATTTTACTTACAAATTTCTTGATATCAGAGTCTAGGTCTTATAAAGTTTCCTTGGCATTTTTTCCTGTAGTGACTTACATATAGTAAGGAAAGTTGGCATGTCCCATTTTAATTACACACATAGACAAGACTTTTATCAATATAATTGATGCGAAAATGTGGACATTATTTATAAATAAATTATCTTAATTTCATAATTGTGAAACTACTTGATTCTAGGGGTGTTTGGGTTAAGCATCTGACTTCGGCTCAGATCATGATTTCATGGTTCGTGAGTTTTACCCCTATGTTGTCAGCTGTGCTGACAGCTCAGAGCCTGGAGCCTGCTTCAGATTCTGTGTGTGTCTCTCTCTCTGACCCTCCCCTGCTCATGCTCTGTCTCTTTCTCTCCTAAAAATAAATAAATATTTTTTAAAATTAAAAAAAATACTTGATTCTCATTTTTAAAAGAAGAAAATAGATTCAACCATTTCCCCGTTACTCAGAGACCACCACCATTAAGATCGGTTTGATTTTTTGCTAACTGATATATAACTATAGTATGTAAATACAGTGTACATGTGTTATCACCCTTGCTCAAATAATAAACACTGGATATATTAACTCTGGATGAGCACTATTCACATGGCACCACAGTAATAAGGTGTGTATTTGTGTGTATTTACCATGTACCAGACAACATCTGCTACACACACATTATACATGACCTGCATGTGTATGATAGATTTAATGCTCACAATAATTCTATGATATAAATTCAGTTATTGCCATTCCCCTTTATAGATGAGTAAGCCAAAAAATAGACAGGTTAGGTAACTTGGGGCAGTGAAGACAAGATTCAAAGCTATGCAGCTTGCTTCTTGGTCTATACCCTGAAGCCCTTACTCTATTGGTTTTCTAAACAGAACACTGTGACTTAAAAACTCAATCTTCAACAATATACTAACAGTTGTATATAACTAACAGTTATATATTTGTGTATATATATATAACAAAGTCAGTGGATTGTTTCCATTAATTAACTGAACATTTAAAAAATTACCATATTATTAAAGGTGATAGGTTAAAAACACCATTTTAGTTACATGGTTTTACAAGATTTACTATTAAGATATAATGCAGAAAGTTTATTTTTTGCCATATTAATAACGTCATGATAAAGGCTTACCTGTACTTAAGTGTCTGGACTTAAATTTTAATCCAAAAGGGTCCCTTTCATAAGTTGTCACAAAGTTTGGTAAATTACATTGATACTGGATATGTAAAGAGAAGATTAAACATACATATTATTTATTACTAACATAATAATTGGAGTGTGATTTTATAAGTATTAATTATTCACTGGTAAAATGCAATTTTGATAATTTGCATATGAACATTTTAAAGAATAATCAAATTCAAGACACTGTATAACCAATTAATCTTTTAGTGGAACATAGTACTTCAAATATCCTTCTGTGAATAAATGAGAAATGACATTTTAAACAGCATAAAATTAAAGGAATCTAATCAAAATTTGCATTTAACCTTAAATGCAAATAGAGTTACATGTTATATTTCTGGAGCTGAGTTTATTTAAATGATGTAACATTTAACAAAGCTAAAATAATTCACTGTGACTGGAATAGAGTAATTACTTGTTATTTTCAACAAACTACACCACAAAGTACTCTTTTAAAGATGGTTTAAAATGAATTAATATGAACTGAAATAGCATCTGTATACTTCCAGAAGCTAAAATTAAATAAAACACCACAAATGTCTCTGTTTGAAAGCTGAATCAATGCAGCACAAAAGGGTGAACTCAAGCAGAATTTAGACAGAGTCTTCTTAGTGAGTGATTCTAGGTTCTGCTCTAGGCAAATAGGAAAATATTAAAAGTCCCAAAGGAAATCCTGATACAAGATTTTCACTCTTCAATCAAAAAAATGTGAATGAAGCACCATTAGGTAAAAAAAAAACCTCTACTGACATCTGGTGGTTGCACAATTTGTATTGCACTGTCTCCAATTCACTTTTTCATAAAAACAAATTAATTCAGCGAAAATTAAAATGTCTCCCATTCTTTAAACTTTATTTATTCAAGTTTTTTTTTTTAATATTTTTATTTATTTCTAGGAGAGAGAGAGAGACAGCGTGAGCAGGGGAGGGTCAGAGAGAGAGAGGGAATCACAGACTGAAACAGGCTCCAGGCTCTGAGCTGGCAGTCAGCACAGAGCCCGATGCGGGGCTCTCAAACCCACGAACCGCGAGATCATGACCTAAGCGAAAGTCGGACGCTTAACCGACTAAGCCACCCAGGCGCCCCTATTTATTCAAGTTTTATAATTGTAACTGTAACTAGTGAAATTTTTGAGTAAACCAATGACATTTGTGTTTTAACTGACTTCCCATCATTTCCAAAAGGTAATATACTTCATTTCCTGCAAATGTAAAGACATAGATGCCTTAAATGAGTAAAGAAGGTTATAGAACCAAGGCTTCTTGAATCTTCTAGCTTTTATCCTAAGAGCTCCTAACAGTTAACATTCATTAAATGCTTCGATATTCCAGACCCTGTTGTAAGCACTTTATGTATAACTGTCTCCTTCATTACTTAAAAGAGCCATATAATATGAAATATTGTTATCCCATGTTATAAATAAATACGAGGCTTAATAACTTGTCCAAAATTATTATAAAGTAAGAGAGTAAGGATAGAGAATCTGATCCCAGAGGCCTTGTTCCTAAATGTTTTTTATATTTTCCACTGGAATAAATTTATTCTTTTCTGTAGCTATTTTTTTTGTTTCTTTTATCAATCCTATTACTTCTCTCATTACTGAACAAGAGTCATATTTATGTGTTAAATTATAGACCTAAGTATAGAATATATTCGTATTCTAAAGGAATTACATTTTTAATCATTTGCATCTCCTTAAATATATGTTCTCCACCACTATATTATAAATCGAATTCTTGTCCACATATTATTTAAATGATTAAACCTGGAAAGCTTCGTGAAAGTAATGTAATGCCCCTTTGTCAATTTTCATTTATTCATCCATTCATTCCATGAGTTGATTTTGTTACTTCTAGATTGTAAACTAGCAATTGAGGTTGTTCTCCAATCACATCTAAGCCCCAACTGTTCTCAAAACTAAGAAAGGCCACCCCAGGTCATTCTTCACAGCAGATAAAACCACATCCCACATCAGAAATATTAACCATGGTCTTACCTCTCTCCTCTGTCATTTGCTGCTGAATCTGAATTATACTGTTTCATGGGAAATCAGGATGCAGACTTACACATACTATATGCACATACCTTTTTGCTCATGTAATAGTAGTCATAATTAAGAAATGAGTAAAAATAATATATATTTCTCCTAATCTGTTTTGTTTTTTCAAATTAAACACTCTTTTGTACCTGTCGAAAGTCATATGGTTTTGGATTGAGGTATACGCCATTTGGATATTTTCCACTCTTCACAAACATTAACTTGACTTCATTTGAATCCAGATGTGGGAATGTAGTTATAAACTCAGGAGATATGGCCTTCTTGGGATGATTCCTTATTTTGGGCAGGTGAAGCATTGTTTCTGGGAAATTACCTTTTTTCCCCCTCCCTTGTTTTTCCTTAATAGTCCTTGATGTTTTTTCTGGAAATCTCAAAGATGTATACAGTTTGTAACTGAAATCAGGAGGCTTTATTTCCCATATGTTGACTTCCATTTCAGATTGTGGTGGGTGCAGGACCTTTTTTTTTCCATTTGGAGTTGAGGTATTGTGTGGGATACTGCAAACTTTTTGTGACATCTCTGCTTCTGTTGTCTTTCTGGAGTGAAGAGGGTTTTCACATGTAGGAATCTGCAACAGACATGCCAATTGGTGAGGTTTACCGTGATAGCAATGGGATATTGAATATTTTTTTCTCCAGGCCAATGAAATTTCTGAAAGATTTGTGAAACAGGAAACAAGCTCAGAAATGATGAGTGCATCAAAAAACAAATACTCCAGTGAAGAAATGGGCAAAAAACATGAATAGACACTTCTCCAAAGAAGACTTCCAGATGGTTAACAGACAAACTAAAAAATACTCAACATCACTCATCATAAGGAAAATACTAATCAAAAACATGAGTACCACCTCACACCTGTCAGAATGGCTAACATTAACAACTCAGGCAACAACAGATGTTGACTGGGATGCGGAGAAAGAGAATCTCTTTGGCACTTCTCTTGGAAATGCACACTGGTGCAGCCATTCCAGAAAACAGTATGGAAGTTCCTCAAAAAATTAAAAATAGAACTACCCTACAACCCAGCAATTGCACTACTAGGTATTTATCCAAGAGATATAAGTGTGCTTTTCAAAGGGGCACATGCAGCCCAATGTTTATAGCAGTGCTATGGACAATAGCCAAAGTATGGAAAGAGCCCAAGTGTCCATCAATGGATGAATGTTTAAATATGTGGTGTACACACACACACACACACACACACGCACACACACACACACCATGGAGTATTACTTGGCAATCAAAAAGAATGAAATCTTGCCATTTGCAACTATGTGGAAAGTATAACGCTAAGCCAAATTAGCCAACCAGAGAAAGACAAATATCATATGACTTCACTCACAGATACAAAACAAATGAACCTAAGGGAAGGGAAGGGAAGCAAAAATAATATAAAACAGAAAGGGGGCAAAACATAAGAGACTCTTAAATATGGAGAACAAACAGAGGGTTGCTGGAGGGGTTGTTGGAAGGGGGATGGTCTAAATGGGTAAGGGGCATTAAGGAATCTACCCCTGAAATCATTGTTGTGCTATATGCTAACTAACTTGGATGCAAATTTAAACATTAATTAATTAATTAGTTAATTAAAAAAGAAATTATGGGTGCATGTTTGTGGAGCAGGGGAGGGAAGGATCATGGCTGCTGCAAACATCTATTCAGCACCCTTGCCCCAGCACTCACTGCGCTAGGTAGGGCTAGGAAGTCAAAGATAATTCACTTAAAATAAATATCCTTAGGTAAATGAGGGGCTATTTGGAAGAAAGACATGAAAACAAAAAATAATAGGGGCACATGTACCCCAATGTTCATAGCAGCACTTTCAACAATAGCCAGATCATGGAAAGAGCCTAAGTGTCCATCAACTGACGAATGGATCAAGAAGATGTGGTTTGTCTATACAATGGAATACTACATGATAATGAGAAACAATGAAATCTGGCCATGTGGAGCAACGTGGATGGAACTGGAGGGTGTTATGCTGAGCGAAATAAGTCAGGCAGAGAAGGACAGATACCATATGTTTTCACTTGTAAGTGGATCAGGAGAAACTTAACAGAGGACCATGGGGGAGGAGAAGGGAAAAAATAGTTGAGGAGAAGGGAAAAAATAGTTGGGGAGAAGGAGGGAGGCAAACCATGAGAGACTCTTGAATACTGAGAAGAAACTGAGGGCTGATGGGAGTGGGGGAGAGGGGAAGGGGGCTGATGGACATGGAGGAGGGCACTTGTTGGGAAGAGCACTGGGTGTTATATGAAAACCAACTTGACAATAAACTATGAAAGGAAAAAAATAACAAAAAATAAACCTATTTTTTAAACCTATTTATATAATCAATATTACAAAAGTGCTGTGAGAAGCAAGGAGAATGATCAGCTAACTCTATCAGGAAAACAGAAGTGACGTCACAAGAAGTCATTTGGACTAATCTTGAAGGATAAGTAAAAATATTCCGGGTTGTAAACAAAGTAAACAACATTCCATCAAGGCACAGAAGGTATGTAAAAATTGTTACAAGCTATTTCTAGGATACCTATGGTCACCTAAACCACCACAGGTGCATTGTAGTAATTGTTATTGGAATTTGTGGATAGAAATGGTGGATTTCCTTTTGGATGACCAGGGCAATGAGAGTATTGGCGCACTTCTAGGATTTAATGTGTTTGTCAATATGTTACTGGAAAATGCCAATGAATTTGAACTCTTCTTGGAAAGAGGGATACTTACCAATTAAATTATGTTTGGCTAGGTGGAAATAATATAACAATACTGGTTCTTGAGAATAAGAATATGAGGTAGTATGAATTTCCTTCCCTTGTACAATTCAGTATTGTTTGAAAATAACATTAAATAGAGGATCTTTAGAATTCTAAATATTAGTATGCAGTAAGCTAAAGTCGTAAATGAAGAGAAACTAACATTGGAAATACATTGAAAATGTCAATTTCTACAAAACAATAATAAATATTTTGTAAAATAAAATGATTATGAGTTGTTTTTCAAATTGTAATATATATATTTTTTTCAAAATTATTAGCACATTGAGAGAAAAACAAAAAGCACAGTGTGACAGGAATTTAGCCTACGTATGTGAGGAGACAGTGGAAAATAGCATGGTACATAAAACTAGAACAATCATGTGGGGAGCCATTTGGGTAGCTCAGATGGTTAAGGGTCCGACTTTTGATTTCAGCTCAACTCACGATCTCACATTTTCATGGGTTCCAGCCTCATATTAGGCTCTGCACTAGCAGTGCAGGTCTCTTCCAAATTCTTTCTCTCCCCCCTCTCTGTGCTGTTTCCCTGCTCTCTCTTTCCCTCTCTCTCCCTCAAAATAAATATGTAAAAACATTGAAAAAATTTTAAACAAAAATAATTTGGGGTTATATTAGCAAAGGTCTTTCATGTCACACCAAGAAATTTAAATGCATCAATGATAATGGAAAATTACTTAACCACGGTGAGAAATATAAAAGGAGGAGCAGTACATGGAAAAAGATCATCATAGTAAATAGATTTAAATTTAAAATATATGCATTATATAACTGTATTTATAAACCTGTGGCTAAGTCGGCTTACCTGCAATACTGCTATATAACAAACTATCCTAAACTCAGTGATTTAAAATAAAAAAAATATCTTATTTTTGTCAGAGGATATGGGAAGAGAGAATTGAGATTGACTTCTACACGTACAAGATTTTTTTGGGGGGAAGATGGACATGTTCTGGAATTAGATAGTCATGATGGTTTTACAAAGTTGTGAATATACTAAAAACCACTAAATTGTACACTTCAGAATTGTAAGCAGTGAAATTATGTGAATTTTATCCCAATTAGGAAAAGACAAATTTACTATTAAACCAAGTTGAATAAATCTTAATATACACAAAAGAAACTTTTTCCCAAAAAATGAAAAGAAGAAGACCATAGATATAACATAAAGGAGTCTATTTAAATCTTGGGGGGGAAAACCCAAAAAAATGAAAACAAAAAAAGTCAAAGAGAATGGGAAATATGCACAAAAAAAGACACAATCAGCATAGTGAAAAGCAACCTACCTACATAATGGGAGAAAATATTTGCAAACCATTTATCTGGTAAGGGATTAAATCCAAAATATATAAAGAACTCCTAAACTTTTCAATAGCAACAAAAACAAATAATCTGATTAAAAATTGAGCTAAATACTTGAAGAAACATTTCTCCAAAGAAGTTATGCAAATGGTAAACAGGACCATGAAAAGATGCACAATATCACTAATCATCAGGGAAGTTCAAGTCAAACCACAGGATAACATTTCACACATGTTAGTATGTCTTAACAATTTTAAAATTGCATTAAGTGTTTGTGTTGTTATGGAGACATTGGAACACTTCTACACTATTGGTGAGAATGCAAAATGGTGTGGTCACTATAGAGAACAGTGTGAAGGCTCCTCAAAAAAATTAAAAATAGAAATAACAACGATCCAGTAATGACACTTCTGGCTGTCTGCCTAAAAAAATTAAAATCAAGATCTCAAAGATCTGTACCCTCATGTTTATTGGGGGATTACTCACAATAGTTAAGACATGGAAACAGTCTAAATGCCCACTGGTGGATGAATGAATATCTTTATCCATGTGGTTCATACACAAAATGGAATATTTTTCAGCTTTACAAAGATGGAAATTCTTCCATATGCACCATGTGGATGAACTTGGAGGACATTATGCTATGTGAAATATGCCAGTCACAGAAGGACAAATATTGTGTGATTGCATTTACATGAGAAACCTAAGAGTCAAACTCAGAAACAGAAAGTAGTGTGATGACTGCCAGCATGGGGGGGGAGGGGGGAGGGCGGGGGAGAAGGGGAAATGGAGAAATTTTGTTCAACAGGTATAAAATTTCAATTAAATAAGATAAGTAAGTTCTGGAGACCGAGTGCACTGCATTGTGCTTAGAGTAACAACACTGTATTGTTCATTTAAAAAATTGTTGGGGCACCTGGGTGGCCCAGTCACTTAAGCATCTGACTCTTGATTTTGGTTCAGGTCATGATCTCACAGTTCATGAGTTTGAGTCCTGCATTGGGCTCTGTGCTGACGGTGCAAAACCTGCTTGGGATTCTCTCTCTCCCTCTCTCTGCCCATCCCCTACTCACTTGCACTCTTCCTCTCTCTCAAAATAAATAAATACACTTAAAAAATAAAAATAAAAAATTCTTAAGATGGTGGATCTCATTTTAAGTGCTCTTACTACAATACAAAAAAATTAACTGAACAGAAACAAAAAAAAGAGAGAGAGAATGTTCATTATCTGACTAAAAAATGTTACAAGTTCCCCTAAACACTCAAAAATATGTTTTCTTCTGTTGCTAAATAATAAAGTGAAACTAAAGCAAATTTGATTAATAGGGAGCCTCTTACATTCTCTGTAAATTTATTGTGAAATATATTAAACTTAAATAATCAAAATACTGCATTAATTAACCAAATATGTGGAAACAAGGATGTAGGGATATTAGTCT